CGAGTACATGCATCGTAAATTGTTTGTTTTAGACTTTTTATAATTTGAATATACGTTTTAGTATGTCATAAATCAAAAATGAGAATTTGAGTCAAGTCGGTGAACATGAATTTGAAAGCTAATGCCCCTTTAAACCATGAAAAACGCTAAATAAGTTTTCAATGACGTGTAGTACATGTTTTGGGTGGGTTTTTTCTAGTGTCGTTAGCATGGTTATGTGATTGTCTCGTTGACCTTTCCTCCAATCTCCTTCTAATCACAAACATAGGTCGAACGGTTGGGAGGTCTTAAATAAGTGTTCGAAAATCGTCGAAGAGCAGAATGAGGGTAAAAGTCATAACATTTTCTACTATAGCGGAAAAAAAATAATAATACCATCTTCAGTTTTTAGACGAGTATTAATACTTCTTTTTTTGTAAAATCCAATCTTTGAAAAACAGTCACCTGAATTTTTGGCGTCCACTGGCAGAACCAGTGTTAATTGGCATCGATTTGACTGTGCGTTTTGTATCCTCGGAATACACAGTCACTTTCGGTTTGAATTCCTATACCTTGTGTAGGAAGAGTGCCGCGCTCTATACACGTTAAAGACTCAACGGATGAACTCTTTGAGGGTATGTAAGTTGTCTGTTGCAAGGCAAAATATTCGATATATATATATATATATATAAACAAGTCTAAATTGAAAACAACGTTCAAACCTATGATTGCGTTGGATAAAAACCGCAATATTTATACGTGTGCATGCAAAACAAATTTCTTGGTAGAGGGGTATAAATACAGCACAAACAACATTTTCCAAAAGACCAAAAAAGTGAAAAAGTATATTTTAACAAAACGCATTTGACTAGTAGGTCGAACAACTGATGTTCTTAAACCCTGCTGACTGCCATTGGCGATTGCCAAATAAACGGATCACAAAGATGTAATCAAATGGATCTTAACTATTAATTTAATACCAAACAGAAAACAATTAACTTGCGGAAAAGATGGTATACCGCAAATAAAATGTGCAAAAATTAGTACACCATATCCGGATTTCGACAATTAATGTTTCTTCAGTGATGTTAGGAATCGAAACGGTATTTGGAAGGCCATATAATTTACCTCAATTTAGGATAGACTCTTGAATTTTGAAGAGTCGAAATAGGATGAACGGATCATATAAACCCGAAGGCAAATATAATACAAGCCCAAACGAAAAATATATAAACAAGTCTAAATTAAAAACAACGTTCAAACCTATGATTGCGTTGGATAAAAACCGCAATTTTTATACGTGTGCATGCAAAACAAATTTCTTGGTAGAGGGGTATAAATACAGCACAAACAACATTTTCCAAAAGACCAAAAAAGTGAAAAAGTATATTTTAACAAAACGCATTTGACTAGCAGGTCGAACAACGGATGTTCTTAAACCCTGCTGACTGCCATTGGCGATTGCCAAATAAACGGATCACAAAGATGTAATCAAATGGATCTTAACTATTAATTTAATACCAAACAGAAAACAATAAACTTGCGGAAAAGATGGTATGCCGCAAACAAAATGTGCAAAAATTAGTACACCATATCCGGATTTCGACAATTAATGTCTCTTCAGTGATGTTAGGAATCGAAACGGTATTTGGAAGGCCATATAATTTACCTCAATTTAGGATAGACTCTTGAATTTTGAATATATATATACAACTCGTCTAAACATCAGCCCAACAATGTTAGATCTGTAAATTTACTTTTCGGTTGCCGGGTGTTATCTTTTCTCGTCAGTTTTAATCTAGCGTCGTAATACAGTACATGATATATAAGACATGAAGATAGGATTGTTACAGATCAGCTGAAATATCTATTGTTAAGGATCCTACAAATTAATGCAAGATACAGTCACAGAAATAATTATATTTATAAGAACGTCTGAACCAGTGACAACTCTACAACAGATTTTTCCATCGGATCAACAGCAGTTATGGTGATACATGGCTGTGTACATTATGTATATACAACTCGTCTAAACATCAACCCAACAATGTTAGATCTGTAAATTTGCTTTCGCAAATTTTTAGTTCTTCCCTCACCGGGATTCGAACTCATGCTACTGAGATATCGTGACACCAAATCGCCTGCACTGTATCCGACGCGCTAGACCACTCGACCACCTAGGCTTCACAAAATATAAAGCTTTCGGTGGCCGGGTGTTACCTTTCCTAGTCAGTTTTAATCTAGCGTCGTAATACAGTACATGATATATAAGGCATAAAGATGGAATTGTTACAGATCAGCTGAAATATCTATTGTAAAGGATCCTACAAATTAATGCAAGATACAGTCACAGAAATAATTATATTTATAAGTACGTCTGAACCAGTGACAACTCTACAACAGAGTTATCCATCGGATCCATCGGATCACCAGCATATATATATATATATATATATCCAGCCTGCACGGTTTTATGTCCTGACTATGATAGTAAGGGACATTGTGTTTTCAGTCTGTACGTCCGTCATGTTCAAGTTTTTGCTGAAGGTAGTTTTGTTCTCATCAATTTGATTCTTGGTACATATGTTTATTATGGTGTGAACTTTTAAAGAGGAAAGATAAAAGCCGAATTAGGAATTTGACCGTGGCTTCTATGTGACTATTCTATTTTCTGCCTACCATCTTAGTAGACCCTTATTGCAGTAGCTACATTGGTGCCTTGGTAGTCGAGTGGTCAAAGAAGTTCAACTACTGTAATCAGTAGCCAGTCAGCACTGAAGATATGAGTTCGAACACCGTTCGTGCGGGTACACTCGACTCCAATCTTAATTCACTTGGTTTGTCAGTTTTCCTACCGAAGGTCGGTGGTTTTCACCGAGCACTTCGGCTTCCTCCACCAATAAAATCTGACCGCCACGAAATAGCACAACAGTGCTGAAAGAGGCGTTAAACACCAATCAATCAATCAATCAATCAATACCTACATTGTACTTATTGGATTTTTTGTTTAATTTCTTTTCGTCCTGGATATTCATGAAATACAAACCAGTGGATGTTAAACAAAATCAATCATTCGAACCCTATTCCAATGAAAACATGAAAACAAAATGATTTACGGATAATTTATCAAAAGTAATTGATCACATAAGCAAATTGTACTCTTGATTTTTTTGGGTTTTTTTTTGTTGTTGATTTTTTTGCAATAAGATACAGTATATTTACTTAGCGATGTTTCATGCATTAACTAATCAGGATTGAAAATGAATGAAAACTGTTGTAAAATATAACCGTAATGAAATTGCTGTTCTAATTCTCATCTGGGAGTGATCTCAGGTGCTCCAGTAGGGTATCCTGTTCCACTAGTGGCACCCGTCATGTTGCCCATGGTAAAAGTTCAAATTCGGTGTTGAGTCTCATTCGGTGATGTCACAACAGAGGACAGATGAGCGGGACTGTAATTACGTTAATTGCAATATCTATGGCATCTATGACACAGCTTTTCCATAAAGGTCAACCACATCGTGTTGGCATCCGTAAAACTTACGAACATCATCTTAAATTGGATTAGGTAGCAATGAATTATAACAATAAAACAAACTGGTTTTAACATGACAAGGGTTAACTTTTTAACAAGACATCTCAAACATACGCCCAGACCATTAGGATAAGCGTGTTCTGTTCTAGCATTGGACTGGCTATCTGTGATACAAGGGAGATTTACTGAATGCATTGCAAAGTAAGAGGTATTGGCATTCATAATGAAATGCATTAATTGATATGGGCTCAGTGAACCTTAAATCAATATTATTGATACGTTTAAATTAATGTACTTTAACGCCAAAATAAACTTAATTTACAATAGCGCCTACATATTGATATCAATTGAATTACCCGGTCTGTTTGCATACTTCTTTCAATGAGACATTTTCCCATAAATAGTCATTATTCAAATGATAAAGATATGATAATTCGCGTATGTCATTACCTGGTATTCAATACACAATACCATTACTTTTAGCTGTAATTATTTAATTGGAAATAAGACAATCAACACCATCTGCTTTATTGCTTTAAAAATATTTCAATAATTAAAAGGTTAAGTAATCATTGACTCAAAAAGTACCAATTTAAGCTGTGTTATGGCGCACCATGTTTATACCGAACATAAAATATTCTTCCTATTATCATATTTTTATCTTGACGATTTGCACAACGTTAACGCTAGACAATTTTCATATTACCAACTTTTAACTCCGGGGTTTATGCTTTCTATACAAGACAAAATCATCGGAAAACAGTCAACTTTCCCACCAAATTGCAACGATTATATGTTTGATTTTACTTCTGTTGGTTGCTCCTACTTGACTGAGTACCAGAATGTCCTACCATAGAGTAGGAAACCTGTCGAAAAATTATATAATCCGGAGTCAAAAGTCGGTAATATGAAAATGGTCTGAAACGTTTTTTTTTTTTTAATGTTAATTGACGTTTGTTCAACCCAGTCCAAAAGATCGTTATAATTGCAGGGGGTGGAAGGGGGGGGGATCTGGATAGGGTCCTTCTTTTATTTATTCTATAACATTTTTGACCATATATCTCTTTTCTTTATTTATTTCGCCCATTATTCTCTATTCATTATAATTTAGCACCACATTGTTCTCTTTTTTTGTCTATTTTTCGCTTTTCTTTATTTTTTTGTTCTTTGTTCTGCACTTTTAGCCCATTATTCTCTATTTTGTAAACCCCATCCAGACCCTTATTATTGGGTTGTTATCATGGTAAGAGATGTATCGGGTTTCGAGAAAATGAGTTTCTGTCAATTTTTGGATAATAGGAACTGGTGAATCTTACGATTTGAACGAATGTGCACTATAGTTAAAACGAACTTTCAATGCTATTTTAAAACTCAATGTAGGACCTAAAAGTTCATCGACACATGCGATTTATTGATATCTATTTCATTCTAGGCACATGCAATTTTGAATAATTGATCATAAATATTATGTGTTGTTTTTCCTCAGACTACCTCAAAGATATTGTGAGAAATTGTGGTCACGTGACGTATGGGAAAGATGAAGTAATAATAAAACAAGGAGAAATTGGAGACTGGTAAGTACGCTGACAAAACACTCAATTAAACAAAAAAGTTTCATTGTTTTATTCATGGTTTTTATTATAAAATATGAAAATAGCACTTTATGAATTGTATGCGTCCGAAGCGCTTTTCTTGATTTACCTCCTTCAGAAACGCTTAAAGCCAAATGTTACCAGTGTGTCACTCGAAATAGTTGGCTGATTAGAAATTTGGTTAAAAGGCCATCCTTTATAGTTATATGACCACTAATTGGGTGTTTCGAGATCTTGCACGATTGACAACAAGGTCAAACAAATTTAATCTGATTGCTCAATGTTTACGTGCTTTCTAAAAGCACAATCGCCTCGGTTAGTCTCGTGGTAAAATGTTTGCCTTTGGTATGAGAGGTCTTATGTTTGATACCTTCATTGTTGTCAGGGAAAACAAAGACTTGAGAACATCAATTGTATAATAAGAGCAAAAAGTCTGATCGAATTAGAATCATCATAATGAGACGCGGAGGGTCGACATATATTCCTGCGGACTTGAAGTTGTGATTAGCACATCGGACCATATAAAAGCAGGATACATTCAAATAGATAATAGATGAATAAATAATCCTTATTTCAAGAGTATAAAACCTCAGTAGCGAACTGTTGTCTTCCGAAGGGTTCTCAAAGTAAGTCAAATATTTATAAGTTGTGCAAATAAGTAAGATAAAAGTGCATTATATACATTTACACAAATAAATACAGTTTCATGTTATTTACACCAAATGCTTAAAATACAAACACTGTATTACAAAAATACTCGTTAAACAGTTTAATAGATATAAGAAGATGTGGTATGAGTGCCAATGAGACAACTTTCCATCCAAGTAAAAATTTTATAAAAGTAAACCATTATAGGTCACAGTACGGTCTTCAACACGGAGCCTTGGCTCACACCGAACAGTAAGCTATAAAGGGACCCACAAAAATTACTAGTGTAAAACCATTCAAACGGGAAAACCAACGGTCTAATCTATAAAAAAAACGAGAAATGTTACAATTTCTATTTTCTTCCCATTAAATACCAACCAATTAATTAATCAATCAATCTATAAATATATCTATCCATTTATCAAAAGCATCCAGGATAGTTTATTGTTTAAAAGGTTTCAAGTGTAAGTCCGTGCGCTAAGAAGGTAAATATTAAATGTCTTTAATAATGTCTTTCTATATAGATTTTTAAATTTCAGCTTTTATATAATACTCTGTGGAAAAATTGGAATCTACATCATTAACAAAGATAAAATTGATGACGACAGTGATGACCAAAATGCCCTTGCTCTTATTGGAAGTAGAACAGCAGACGGTGCACTCGACAGGTCTAAGTTGGGAAACTATGTTTGCCCCCTTGGTGAGTAGACATTTTATTAGAAAATACAGCATATCGAATGATAAAGCAAATCTTACTGGGTTTTATATGTGAATGCCATGCTGTATGATACTAAAAGTCTTTAAAATTCTAATTCAATGGAATTAAAAACGCTAACAAACAGTTTCGTTGAATAAATAAGTACACTCATTTGTGTTTCTATGATTTTGTACCGATTGTAGCGAGAGAAAATTAGCAATAAAATCTTAGTACCAATTACAATGGTAAAGCACCTGCTTGTTGTCAAGGTGACAAAGCTTTATAACCACAAACACGACTAATTTGCACATACGTATACATATTTGTTACACGGATATATATGTAAACACAGATTTATACATTGAGAAAACAATTAAATACATGTAATAATGAAAACATACTGAAGAAATGCAGAAATTGTGAAAAATGCATATTTTCGTGTGAGTTTTATATCTTTCAGTTTTATTTTATCTTAACATAGTTGATTAGAATGTACTTTTACTTACATTGATTATGGATGAATTCATCAAATATTAATTATCACATCTTTTACAGCTTCTTAACTGTAGAAACACGGTGACATTATCGGGTATATAATCTCTGTTTTATTTATTTCTGAAACAGGTCCTGGAGTTCCATTCGGAGAGGTTGCTCTCATGTCAGATGACTGCATCCGAACAGCCTCGATTATTTCTGAAGAGAAAACAGATTTACTAATGGTAGACAGGGCACTTTACAACAGAGCAGTTAAGGATGTGCTTGCCCGAGAGTTTGAAGAGAAGGCTGCATTCATTAAAGACAGTCCTCTATTTTCAACCTGGGCTCCGAGATATAAGAAACAACTAGCTATGGCTTTGTACAAAGAGTCTTTTCCTTATGAAAGCGCCCTCGTGCGACAGGGAGATCCTTTGACTAATATATATTTCATAATTAGGTAAGTGGATCTAATTTTATCAAAGCAAGTAAACACGTTCTGGTTGTTTCATTTATGGCACAGGCACTTGTCTCTGAAAAAAATAATTACATACAACTTTAATATAACATAAGGTACATAACTCGTATATTTGAGAAACGTCACCCGGTCGCAAACTTCCGTTATATTTCGATTTTGCGGTTGTCTATCCCACTCAAACCTTTTATCCCGTAAATCTACGTTGAATTATCTACAAAATGGTATTTCTATTATCGGAATCATTCGTAATAGGCCTTCCAAGTATGTCAACCGCAATTATTTCGTCTTCTGACAGCCCTTTGGAAATATTAATCTCGCAGTGAATGATTAATTATAAAAAGTTTTTCCCCGAAACCTGTTATTTTTTCTCTGAATAGAACTTATCATCCAGATAGTAAATTTGTAAAAGATTCCGTGAAAAAAAAAATCTAATGAGTGTTATTTGAGTTATGTCTAATGAGTTAAGAGTTTCTATATTAAGACTCAAATTTTCCCATTCCATCAATGTCATTCAGACTCTCTCTGGACTTAACGTATACAATTGAGATAACTCCAAAAAACATTTATTTTTAGCAATAAGATTTGACCAATCGGAAACAGAGATATGTATAAGAGAGGGAAAGATACAAAAGGGACAATTGTAATTAAGCATTTACTGCGAGATTAATATTTCCTAGGGCTGTCAGAATACGAAATACTTACGGTTGACATACTTGGGAGGCCTGCTAAGAATGATTCCGACAACAAAGGTAGGCGTGTCATACACCATCGATGTAGGTTTACGGCATAACAAGTTTTAGTGGGGTAGACAACCAAGGAATCGAAATATAACGAAACTTCGCGACCGATTGTCATTTTTCAAAAAATGCGAGTTCAGTACCTTGTGTTATATTAAGGTATATAGGAAATTTTTTGAGAGAGAGACAAGTGCCTGTGGGTAAAACTCGGTGGGGTAAAATTTATGCATCTGTATTCAAAGCTACCTACTTTAAGTGTGCTTGAAGAACACGTGGATTACCTTCATCAGGAACGCACACAGACGAATATTTGAAAGTCCTTAGGTATTGATAAGCTGATTTTTTTTTCAGGAAAACGCGTGACTCAAACTTAGAAATATAATTTAGATCGCATTTGTTTAGTAGTATCTATTTTCTCTATTCTTCGCGTCTATATGCAAATGCACTTTCTATGCACTTTTGAATGTCAATTCTGCCAACATTATAATTTTCGAGAATTCTGTGACGTTACTTGTTATTCATACTTGATACTTATAAGTGGATTCCTTTTCCAATTTTTTCGATAACTTTTAGAAAATAGTCCCAGCAAACTTGGGTTCAAAGACGTATCGAAGTTTGTTTGACATTATTGATTTTTAACAAATGCTGGCATTATTCCGGTTCTTACGTTATAACAGTTACCCCCTCAAATACATAAATAGCATTATACTTCAAGAGACGTGGGGGAAAGCGATATAATAGTTATCAAAGGTACCAGGATTATAATTTAATACGCCAGACGCCCCTTTCGTCTACATAAGACTTATCAGTGACGCTCAGATCAAAATAGTTATAAAGCCAAACAAGTACAATTATAAATAAAGTTGAAGAGCATTGAGGATCGACCCAAAATTCCAAAAAGTTGTTCCAAATACTGCTAAGGTAATCTATTCCTGGGATAAGAAAATCCTTAGTTTTTTCGAAATATTCAAAGTTTTGTAACAGGAAATTTATAAAAATGACCATATAATTGATATACCGAAGTGCTGACTACTGGGCTGGTGATACCGTCGGGGACGGAAACGTCCACCAGCAGCGGCATCGACCCAGTGGTGTAAATAGTTATCAAAGGTACCAGGATTATAATTTAATACGCCAGACGCGCGTTTCGTCTACATAAGACTCATCAGTGACGCTCAGATCAAAATAGTTATAAAGCCAAACAAGTACAAAGTTACGTAAGGATAATCGGGTTTTCTACACATTTTAAAAGATCATAAAATTTTATCTGCGAGCGACAATGTGATCCTTTTTAGCGAGTGAGCGCAGCGAACGAGCCAAAGGGTCTTACATTGTGTTCGTCTAATATTTTACGATACCTATACACTGAAAATCTGATAAAATATTCATCGTGCGATTTCTGATCTTTTCCATCTTCCTTTGAGAGTTTTACGCTTAAGGGCATATGATACAGTTTTGATCCAACGTTGATTTTTTTTACGAACATTTTCATACAAGCTATGATTCTTCACTTAGTTAATTCAAATATGTAATAAAAAATATACCTTAATGTGCTAAATTTTGAGATAAATGGGGTCGAAAATTTTGACATTTACTTAAAATCTCGGTTTCTTGGACATTTCTATCCTTTAGACAGACATACTTAACTTTTTTGTTTCAAAAGATAAACGCATGCGGATTTTTGTAAAATGATTTGGAATATCTTCTTTGCAAAATAATGCTCTTAACTTGTGTAACAATTTTTTGAAAATAATTCATTTTTATTAAGATTTCATGATTATAGTATAAAACGGCATTTTTTTGCTGCATATTTATCTAATTAAAAAAAAAATCATCGGTGATTTTTTTCATAAAAATTGGAACAAATAATCTTCATACAGTATCAAATCATTTGTCATTAAAAAAAAAAGAGGGGTCCATGTACTCGTAGGGCATACGATACAGTTACAGGGGAGGTAATGACGTTGCTAACGAAAAATATTATTTTTCGCGACGTCAAACTGCGACATATCGGGAAAAGATGCATTTTTCGAGTGATTTTAATCCATAGCTTGAAAACGAGTACATGGACCCCTCCTCTTTAAAATGACATTTGACTTGATACTGTATGAAGATTATTTATTCCATTTTTTGTGAAAAAAATCACCGATGAATTTTTTTTTAAATTAGATAAATATACAGCAAATAATGCCGGTTTTTTTTCTAAAATCTTCAAAATTTTATAAAAATGAATTATTATTTAAATAATTGGTACACAATTTAAGAGGATATTTTTGTAAAGAAGATATTCCAAATCGTTTTAAAAAAAATCCGCATGTGTTTATCTTTTGAAACCAAAAAGTTAAGTACGTCTATCCAAAGGATAGAAATGTCCCAAGAAACCGAAATTATAGGTAGATGTCAAAAATTTCTTCCTCATTTAAATCTAAATTTAGCACATAAAGGTATATTTTTTATAACATATTTGAACTGACCAGGTGAAAAATAGCTTATTGGAAATTTTCGTTAAAAAAATCACAGTGGGATCGAAACTAATTCGTATGCCCTTAACGAAAGTAAGCTTGATAACGTCTCCACGAACATTATGACGTCGCTGATAATTGCTCCTCACACATTGTGACGTCGCTAATAAGTTCTGCTCTTGTCTCATAGCAGTGATACGAGAATTACAAAGCGACCGAACAGGGTGATATAGACAAAGGGAAAAACGATAAAAATAAGTTATACGTAATGTACTTAGAATTTAAGGATCTGACTTTTTTCGAGAAACATGTTTTAGATATGTGTTATCTCTCTTTTATCAGAAAATTCTCAATTCTGTGTTTCAAATACATTTATAATTCAGAAATTCATTGAAACATGACTTACATGTTTTTAGTGTAATTTGCACACCGACACCTCTATTTAGAACATGTATTAAACCTGCTATTTTTAATACGAAATTCTCTGTATTTGTTTTTATCTGATTTATAATATGATTCAAAATATTTGATTTACAATAGATATATATATATGAATAACAAATTATGTGTGTTATATGTTTTGTATGGCGTCTTTAAACACGCCTGTGTTTTATACATTAATAATTGGCTTTTGGTTTTTTTTAGTGGTCAAGTAGAGATGCTAACAGATACATCACAACATTTATTCCAATACCCTAAAGTTTTTATAGAAGCTTTAGATGAAAATGAAAAGTATGTACTAAGCGTCTCTTAAATTTTTCTAATTTCAATTTATAGCAGCGTTTTGAATGAAACGAAATCATTAAAACAGTAAATTAATTTTCAAGAATTTGTGTTTATTAATATTCTTTTCGGATATAAGATTTGTGATAATATACACAAACATTTAATTGACAATTCAAAATGCAGTATTGGATTGACTTGATACTAGTAAGCTTAATTTATTTCAATTCAAAATTCATATTACATTTTTAGTTGAAACGTTTTGTAAACTTGAAGGAAAGGAAGGTATTTCGTTCATAAATCAAAGACAAAGATGAATGTTTTTTTTTCTTAACAGGTTTTTGAAGAAGCTGGATAGAAGCAGACCTCCAACAGATCCTCAATATACAGCGTGTGTGAAAAAGAAAGATCATACTAAAAATACAAAAATGTGTTACCTTGCCAAAAACGAGAGCATTGGTAAGTAAAACAAAGGAATGTAAGAAACATATGCCATTTTTATGGAACCACCGCTAGGCGACTGGGGCATTTAGGTTTACCCTTGTCCGTCTGTACGTCCGTCCGTACGTACGCACGGACGTCCCGAAATTGGTGTTTGACTCAACCAAATGTTACGAAAGTTACGCACTATGCTTATTACCACAAAACAGAGATCTATTTAGAAGTTCACCAAAAATTCGCCTCGGTTGACAATATTTTCTCGGGGTAACAATCTGCTCTATCACCCTCTCAGCTTTGTGTTATTTATTTTGAGTTTTTTTTTAGTTTGTATCTTTTTATAAATGTGTGATTTAGAAGCGTTTTCAGTTGCATTTTATATTTACAGGAGAAATGGAAGTTCTTCTTGATTTGGATACTTACGTTCAGACAGCTATTTGTACTGAAAAGACTGATGTTCTTGTACTGGAAATGAAACATTATGAAAGACTTTTTACGAAAAAACACCAGAGGACTATAGATGCGATGAAGCAAATGTTGGAAATTAAAATCAATACCCGAATTACACTATTAGGAAGTGGCGAAGAAGTACCTTTGCTCCATCATTTAAAGAATAAAGTTAACCTCATGAACAACCCAAAAGCTCCTCCTGAAAAATCTACGCGAGAAGAAGATTCTGTTTTAGCAGCTGAAAGACAATTCTTTAATCATACGGGTCCTTTAGTTGACATTGATGGACCCGGAAGTGTGTTTTATATGATACGAGTTAGAGAAAAATCTAAACAAAAATCACAGCACAAAAACAAAAGAAAACAAAATGGTCGAAACGAGCATATGCATGCAATAAGTTTACCTCAGTCGTTAATCATGGCCGCTCAAATGGCGGGTGCTACTAAAGATATAGAACTTATAATGGAAAAAGCCGAAGAAGATGAAAGACATGACAATTTAAAATTATCAGCAGCAGGGAAAAGTGCCAGATCATTCCGACGCATTCAGAGTGCAAATAAACCATCAATTCCAAACGATAACGAGATAGAAGAAGAAGTTTTCGATGATGATAAGGAGATGACTAAATCTTTACCCGAAAGACATGCAATGGTTTCATTCGATGATGAAGACGAGGATGCCTCACTTTCATTTCTTGAATCGCGAGTACGAGACTGGTTATGTAAAGATAATCCAAGAAAAGGACCTCAAGTGGCTCAATTGAGGCGACTACCTGTACAGGTAAATATAGATAGTAAAGTTCCAAGTATATTAATATACTCGGAAAATTAATCAATTATAATCATAATGGCTTTAATGTACTATTATAATCCTTATTTTGTATGCTATACTTCTCAGGGTTAATAAAGATTACAAACTTTGTCCACCTTTAAGACAGTTGGTTATCAATTATTTGTATCAAAGGACAAAATAAAAGACTTCTAGAGGTCAAAATACAGTCTTCAATAATAAATAAGTGTCGATATAATATGTCAATCTCTTGGTCATCCCAAGTATAAAATAAGTTGTGGTTAAATTAAACCGAGACTATCTTCCACCAACAATAGAGTTTCAAAATAAAAAAAAATATATCAAGACAGGGTATGATACGAGATATATCAGATATGACGTTAGATAAATTATATTATGAGTTTAGGTAAGTTATATTATGAGTTTAAGTAAATTATCTAAGATTTTCAGTAAATTTCAATATGATTTTAAGTAAATTTTATTCTCATTTACGTAAATTTATTATCATTTCAAGTAAATTCTTTTATCATTTTTAGTAAATTCTACTGTCATTTTAAGTACATTTTATATTGCAAGTAATTCATTTTTTAGTATATACTTGCTGATACTCTACTTTATCACTACAGGAACTTGATCCTCAGCCAAAACCGGGAAAGAAAATTGTTATACGCAAGCGCAACAGATCTTCAACAAGTCATGAAAGTGCTCGAACTGAAATGCGTTCAGTCATGTCGAAAGAAGAGGACGATCTCCAACATTATAATATTTTGATAGCAAGGTCATGATTGCTCCATGTTTGATAGTTAAAATTGAATACATTCAGCTTTAAATGTTAATATAATGTTCAATTTCATGCACTACAAAATGTTTAATGATGTCCATATTTTTGCTGCAATACATATATTTAAGACAATAAATGCCTAGGATAAAAGTGTTTTAAAAAGTATGTCGACAATTACTGAAGCATTTCAATTTCGACCAATTGTTTTGTTTTGGTTGAAGTCAAAACTGCCTTCATTTATTTCTTTTCAGACAAGCGGACTCTTGTCTCTTGTCTGTGTGTGTGTGTGTGTGGGGGGGGGGGTTACAGTACGGCATAATCTTTAAATTGTTTCCTTCTATAAAATTAATTGTACCTGGACTAGAAAAGGAAGTCAGGCTCGCCAGGCATTTCTAACCTGAGTTTTCTTGCAGGGAATAACAAATTATATATCCTATTGATAGTCTCAGCTTACCTTCCAAATTCCCCAAATGACAAAAGACATTACTAGATAAGACAAAAGACTACCACTGACTTGGTTCCTGGTTTGAAAATTGCTTACATCCACTTTATTTGAAATTTGGTGGATAGTTGTCTCATTGGCAATCATATCTCATCTCCTTATTTTTACATGAACTTGTGACAAAAGACAACCACTGATTAGGTTCCTGGTTTGAGACAGGCACACGAACTTGTGACAAAAGACAACCACTGATTAGGTTCCTGGTTTGAGACAGGCACATGAACTTGTAACAAAAGACAACCACTGATTAGGTTCCTGGTTTGAGACAGGCACATGAACTTGTGACAAAAGACAACCACTGATTAGGTTCCTGGTTTGAGACAGGCACATGAACTTGTGACAAAAGACAACCACTGACTATGTTCCTGGTTTGAGACAGGCACATGAACTTGTGACAAAAGACAACCACTGACTATGTTCCTGGTTTGAGACAGGCACATGAACTTGTGACAAAAGACAACCACTGACTATGTTCCTGGTTTGAGACAGGCACATGAACTTGTGACAAAAGACAACCGCTGACAATGTTCCTGGCTTGAGACAGGCACATGAACTTGTGACAAAAGACAACCGCTGACAATGTTCCTGGCTTGAGACAGGCACATGAACTTGTGACAAAAGACAACCATTGACTAGGTTCCTGGTTTGAGATAGGCACACGAACTTGTGACAAAAGACAACCACTGACTATGTTCCTGGTTTGAGACAGGCACATGAACTTGTGACAGAGACAACCACTGACAATGTTCCTGGTTTGAGACATGCACATGAACTTGTGACAAAAGACAACCACTGACTAGGTTCCTGGTTTGAGACAGGCACATGAACTTGTGACAAAAGACAACCACAGACAAGGTTCCTGGTTTGAGACAGGCACATGAACTTGTGACAAAAACAACCACTGACAAGGTTCCTAATTTGAGACAGACACCTGAACTTGTGACGAGGGTAAAGAATTATTTTAGATCTCAACCTTCTCTATTTTAATCTCGATCATTTGTCTTACTGTAACAGACGTATATGTAAAAGAACATTGATCACGACACATTCTTTATGTGCGCCTGTAGTTCAGTGGTTGTCGTTGGTTCCTGCATGTCTGTCATATTTGTTTTTCCGTAAATTGTTTTGTTCTAAATTAGTTTTCTCGATTGAATTGTTTCACAATTTTCATTTAGGGGTCTTTAAATGTTGGCCATACGGTTGCCTATAATTGCTTACATCCATTTCATTTGAACTCGGATGGGTAGTGGTCTCATTGACAATCATATCATATTTCCTTATGTTTATATAGTACTATAAAAATTAGTACAGAAAAAACGCAGAACTATATCGTTATAGTGAAATAGATAACAAAAAAAAAACCAAGTGCAAAGCAAACAAAAATAAACCAAACCCTCTACTCTACATACTCTTTTCTCGCAGACGGAATTATACATCTAAACTAAATCTACACTTGCTTATTTGATATGATGCCGTCCTATATTTGAAATTCATCAAGCAACGTCATAAACAGTACATGCAGGAAGAAACGATCTAATGCAATGAGCGGAACAAACCTTCAATAATTCAGTAATTCAGGGGATTTCCTTGGTTACTTTCTAGCGTATAATCGAGACGTTTGTTTCTTGTTTGAATTGTTTTACACTTTGCCTTGTCGAGGCCTTTTATATCATACTATACGTTATGGGTTTTGCTCATTGTTGAAGGTCGTACAATATCCTATAGCTGCTTACATCTACGTCATTTGGTCTCTCTCATCATTAGCAATCATACCACAACGTCTTATTCTTATACTGCATAGAGTTAACTTGCAACAGAACAAAAGAACCATTTTATTCTTGCTTCAAACCATTAGATATTAGCTATACAAATTTAATATGATTATTCCAAAAAGTACATGTAATCTATAAAGCCAAAAAGATAGATTAAAGGACGATCTCTAAATTATTAGCCTTATCGATAAAAAATATCGTTAAAAATGTCATTGAAATGCTACTTTTTAGTAAATACCTGCAGGATAAATCTCTAAAATATCTATACTTTGCAACGCTAGAAAAGAGATCTACGGAATATTTTTGACTTCATGAATGAGTTTAACTTTTGTGCTTTGCAAAAATGCTTCAATGTTTGTTTTAACTAAGCAGAACAGAAATTTTAAAAACTTAACACTCATTCTCTGTAACCACTTAAACTTTTTCGGCACACATAGTCAGCGATCTTTCTGAAAATTGGCTGATATGTAGATCCTATTAGACTAGTCAGAAAAATAATGTCAACCGATATATATATATTGGTTGGTTACCATGGTAACAGCAGAGAAAGTTGGGATTTTTGAGAAAAATACAATATTTGGTGTAGTGTTGTGAAATTATGCGGCTACATCTATTAAAAAGAAACACAAAAACAATTAATTTCATTCTTGTTTTAGTCAAAATTCAAAAAAAGTTATAGGGAATCTACCTAGAAACATGCGAAATTAATTTCTAAAAAATGATCATTGTGCAATTTTCCTCACAATACGAATTATCTCCCTTTGATGGGTTACACTAATGACTGGACCAAAACGAAAACGATAATAACTTTTTTATTTCTCAAAGGATTTATGTCAAATCTGAACTGTTATAAATTTAGACCATTCAATACATGAATATAAGAAAAAAAAATATAGAAAACTTTTTTAAATCTTCATTAAACGTGACCTGACCAACGCTGACAATGCCAGGACCAAATGAAAATGCTAATAACTTTTTTATTTCTTAAAGGGTTTATGTTAAATTTGAAATATAATAAAGTTTAATCATTTAATATATAAATTAATAAAAAAATATTGAAAAAAATATAAAATATTCAGATAACGTGACCTTTCTAACGTTGACAATAACCTGACCAACAATAGCAATGACCTGACCGATGAAAATTACTGTGTTATTTTATATTATTTAAAAAAAAACAGGAAAAATATGTTTTTGGTAAAAAAAACTTGACCTGACCAACGTTGACTGTGACCTGGTCGTTATACTACCCAATACTTATTTATATCTTATTGGATTTTCTTTAAATTTATAAAAAAAAATAGAATTAAGATTGAATGGTAAAAAACTGGGAAAAACAGTTTAGGGTACTATGACGAGCACCGAATTATTTAAACTTTTTATAGTATTGAGTAGTATATTGTATTTAACTGTGTTGTAAATTATGTTGTATATTACCGGTTATAATTTGACACGTTTGATCACAAATATAAAGTAACTCAAAAGGTGTGTTTGAAGTAGGCCATACATACATGTAAGTTGATAAATCCAATATAGTTTGTTTTTTAACAGTAAATAGTTATTTCCACGTACTACTTAAGGTATGCGCGAGCCTTGTGCAGGATATCTTGGCAGTTTTTAATATTTTCATAATAACAAATACACATTTCGCAGACTACTTGAGGTATGCCCGAGCCCCTGCATGTACGATATCTTTGTATTTTAAAATATTTTCATAAAATATAAGTAAACATATTCGCGGACTTAACTGGAGGGTTACCAGAGCCTTGTCTTAGTTTTAAATGTTCCCGAAAGTTTGTAAAGCATTTTATATTTTCTTATTTGATAAAATTAATGGTTCAATCTAAGTGTTTCTATAAAATTGATGCAAAGCCTATTACATTTAAATAGGTATAAAGTCATTTTTCCTAGTCATGATAACGGTCAGAATGTAGGACAGAAAGTCACAGACAAAAAGTCACAGACAAAAATTCGCGGACAAAAAGTCACATGTATAATATGTTATAAACATAGACTTCTGCTTCAAAGTAAAATCTAAATTATTTTTTGTCTAAAGAAAGACAATTATATACTAATTTTGAGAAACATCTTTCTGTAATGGGCTTTCAGTGGAAATCAAAGTATACGTACATGCATATAATTCTTTTAAAGTTACCCTGTGTAAAGAGTTATCATATTGTCAATATGTTTTAATTTGCTGCTAAAAATCCATTAAGATTACTGTTATTTTCTCAAATTTCAATAATCCAATGCCTTTTACTAATGTAAATATAGTGCTACCAAAGGCGGATCCAGGGGGCCATGAGGGCCCGCCCCCTCCTTTCATTGGAAACATTTGGTTGATTACATATGGAATCACTGAAGCATGAATGTAGCGGGCATCTCTTAAGGCAGTCAGTGGTAACCCTGATATGACAATTGTCTAGATGGTATATTTTCCCCCTGCTGCTCGTTGTAAGACCAGCAGTCACCCGCTGACCGATTTTCCGTGGGTCCTCTTAGGGAAATGGAACTTTTTGTAAAATCTCGAAAATTCCTCCCCCGCCAGAATGTCAAACAAGAAATGTGTCGGATGAATAGCAGGGACCATCGGGTCGACGGCCGACGTTACCCGCCCTTGCTTGTTACGCCCTTTTTTTAGGGACTCCCTAGTTGATCTATTGAAATTTCTGTCCTTGTCCAATTGATCCCGATTTCTAGTGATATTTCGAATTGTCTGCCTTCATCCCAGGTTACACCTATTGAAGGACCTTTTTGATTTTTAGGATTTTTTATAACTTTTATAAAAATGATCTTCATGTAGATACTCATCATCCAATAATACAATATTATTCAAAACGTATAGCTACATGTATACATGATTTGCCATTTCAGCATTGAGTTTAGAATGAATAAGAAAAATAAACAGCTCATAATAAAGGTATTTTTTTTCCTTTATAGAAAGGTTAGATGGTCAATTAACATTTATTTAGAGGATCAACGTCTGACTCTTTTGGTTCTATTTTTTATTGTGTTGAAATGTTTCAAATTATTGACTTTAATTAATTTTTGGTCAGTAGACTAGCACAGGACCTACAATGTTCCTATTAAATTTATTGGTTTTGTTCTCTTCTGAAATATGCATGAGATGTTTGACACTGGACATAAAGCAAACCACAACTAATCGATCATTTCTTTTTTTACAAAACTGTATACACTCTTTACTATATGTATCGAAGTTCATTAAACGAATTTGTAAAAATTAGCACTTATCAGTATTTTTGCAAATGGACTGCTTGTTTCCATGGCAACACATTCAATGGCAAGTATTGCATAATTGCATATATAATTTTTTAAATGATTTTATTTGTTTTTTCTAGATTTAGTCATTGTTTTTCTTGTACATTTTTCATGATCATAAAAATAGACTGACATTTCTTCATAATCAGCACTTTTATCCAGATTAGAGAATTTGTATTTGTTTCATTCAAGTGGTAACACCATATTATCGTTATACTATACCAGCAAAACTATTTATATATACACATGTGTGTATACAGTGAAACTTAATAAGTGTTTTCGTTTTCCTACTTTTGTGCACATTTAAGAAACTAACTGAAACTTTTTCAAAATTGTTTTAAACTTGTGTATCATCATGAAATTGTTTCCATAGCAACACAGTTAAAACTATAATACCGTTATGTATCAATATGGTTCAAATGTTAATGATTGCAATCATTTCTACAAATTGTATATTTATTTTATTTTTTTCTGACTGCAGAATTAGGTTTTAAAAATTTTTTTTTCAAACATTCAAAAATTTTTTTTTCTGAAAAAATGAAAACTAAGCTTTTTGTATCCATGGTAACAAAAAAATGAGACATACTTCCCCATTACTTTTTCGCATCATTGATAAGATAAGACTATGGTTTTTATGAATTGATGGTTGACTTTAACTCAGGTGTCCGCAAAAAATTATAGTGAGCATTCAAAAATGACCTCAAAAGGGTATTTTTTACCTAATGCAAACCACATAAAAAGGGGGGTAAATGTAATTATGATTGAAAATGAATATGAAAATATCAGTTATTAAATTACATTAATAAAATGCACATATTTAATAAAATCATAAAAAAATATTCTTTCTTTTAATCATTTATTATGAAAAATTATGTTGAAAATAGCCATTTTCAGCTTAAAATCATAGATATCCAGAAGAGGTAACACTGGTCATCGGTTGCTATGGCAACCGATATGCTTAGCAACCAAAGTTTTGCCATTTTTTGTTTGTTTCATCAAGACTAGTAAGTGTGTGAAGTTTGAAGAAAATCCATGAACATGCGTGCCACACTCCCTATATAAAAGTTTAAATAGTTACAGAGAACCAGTATTAAATACTCATGGTTCATTCTTGTAATTTTTCACTTATCTTGAGCATGTTAACTTTCGTTGAAGAGAATTTAAGTCAATTTCCTATTTTCGTGACTGCGGTAGGTAATGGGTTTGATCCTCAACTCTATCAAAAGAGACTGCTTTAAAAATATGATCCATGAATGAAAAGGAGATGAAGGGACAGCAATCCAACGACACATTTCTCGTTATTTTGCAGGATAAACTAGAAATAATGTTTGTTCCGTAGGTACTTAATCACAATTTCCTTATGACAGCATTGCTGATTATAAATAAGAAGAATTTAATTTGTCGATTAATTCGTGCTATATAGCATCATATTTTTTCAACCGCTCGCTCAACATGGGAAGGAAGTGACGATGCCCCTAAACGCATGAATGATGTTCACTAAAACTAAAGTTTTTGACGGAAATGCAACGAACTCGAAAGTGGTCTAAGCTCTGAGTCCTAAAAAGAGAATGATTTATTTAACAGAGACTATCACAGATCTGCCATCATCTAAATTCCAAAGGTTACTGAGTCACAAAAATAAGACAACCACTGATGATGTTTCTGACTAGGTACAGGTACATACATATATACTAGTACAAAATGCACCTATATGGAACGGGGACCCAATTATTTCCCCCATTACTTCAATGCAATTTTATCAAATTGAGGGACAAATGTTTTATTCCCTATATTAGACTGCAAAATTTCAATTACTTTCTCATACTAGTAGCTCCCTTCATTGTTTTTTTTTGAGAATTTTTGAAGCGTCCTGACAAGCATTTAAGAGAAAAATACTGTTTTAGTATCAATGGGGTCATTTTACTAACTTCCTGGTTAAAATTGAAAATAAAATTTGGACCATTTATTCAGACAACCATCCACCCTATACATTTCAGAATCACTTAGACTAAAATTTAACAGAAGTTGAAAGTTTAATGAATTCCCTTTAGATATACTAGAAATTTAAGCATCTTTACATAATTTTCAACTCGGTATAATATCCCTTTTAAATGATGGTAGATTTATCAAGGGACTTCATTCGTGGGTACTGGACTGGTATCCCGTAACTGGGATCCTATTCCATTTTTTAAATATCTTTTTTTCGCACTCCTCTTTGATCTTGATCGTTGGTTTAACAAAGTAACATTGAAAAACGTACAGAAAAAGTTTCATATAGAAAAGCACTTATTTCGGTATAATAATTCCGGGATAAAAGATATGGAAAACACAGGATATAGAAAAGAAAAAAAAATTATAATTTATAAAATATCAAAGAATGTTAGCAACTATTGAAACGAAGCTCGATGTACCTAGAATATTGAAATCATTCCGTCCTACGATCTAATATCTGCTGTACATTACATAAGAAGGAGCCGACGGAACAGTATAGTCATAGTGAGGAAAATTAACAATAGAGAAGAATGAGTCGTCGTGTTTGCCATTAATTTCGATATGATGATCTTGTATCAATAACTTGGTACGAGGATAATTTTTTTTTTCAAATTCAGATTATTAAGAGATAACATGTAGATGTTGAATATCTGCAGTTATTATTAAAAATAACTATCAAGTGCATGGTGTCATGAGTTTTATTAAGATCAGCCATTAAATTAAAATTCAAAATATTTGAGGACCAAGTTTGCGTTTGAGGGGCTACTTACCCCCCATTGGAATACCAATCATATCAGCTTTCATTCTTTTGCAAAGAACTTCAATTAAAAGATAAATGTCAGCTTTTTCCATTTTTTCTAGAATCTAAAATTCTGCAATACATAGATCAGAGCCTTCTGACAGGTCCACACATTCCTATTACTCATAATATGAAATATATCTGGCTTCAAGAAAAAATCAAACTTGTAAGGTAAATAGCTGTGCACATGAGGGAAATAACATAATAAGGTATTTCTTTTTTTTCTTAATTCGAATTAAACTCTCTTTTCGACGTTTCATTTGTTAGATTTATTAATTGTGTAAATGTCTTTAGGAGAGACACATGTTTATTTGTCATGTTGCCAATTTCTTATGATAATTCAAAGGCTGATTAAAAAATCAACACAAAGGTAAAGGCTCTGATCTATGTATTGTTTACCCATAGATGAACATGCCTCAACAAAGACTAAAACTGAATAGCTTCCTAAATTATACAAGACAACAATACAAATTTCATTTTATATTTGCAACAAAAAAGGGTATTTTCATATATCTATGGATGTAATCAATTTTAAACAAACACAAAGGAAAAGGTTTAAGATATTTTATTCTTAAGCATGAACAATTCGAAATATGATACTAGCATGATATACAGCAACATATTTATATAATGCCAACATTTTATATAAGTCAACTTTCAAGAATTGGTAGAGGTTAGTGGGCAAGGGAACACAATCTGATTGGAAGAACATAAATACTTAATGTGCAATATGTTTTTCATGTAAGCTGCGTTGAGGATAATTATAACCTGAATATTAAAAAATAATGCTTTGTCATCGTAACCCTGTTCCAAAGTTGTAATACGTACATATATTTTAACAGACTAGAAAACACACATGGATAAAAGTATATTATCGAGTGGTTTATTTCTATTCAAGTTTGAGGTACTTTCATATACGTGTTTATATTTGATTTTATAATTTTCGAACTATAGCGTAAAACATTACTGCAGCTTACATAACATTACTAAAACACATGAGCAATACAAACATTTATAAACAAAATGAATAAATTCTGAACACTAGCAATGCCGTTTGTTTAAAATTGATTAAACATATCAATTCAAATCTATCAATGTTGCTTTGATTTATCAAAAACAACAGGTATAATACTTTATGGTAGCACTTAAGTGTTTTCCTCCAAATTTATACAACAAAATACATGTAGTTCACATTCGTCTTGGTTGAGCTAAGAAACACAAATGGTAGGTACAGATGACTCAATAAAACAATAGAAATAAGCCAAAAAAATGTACATAATACTGCTGGGTATCACAGATATTTGAATATGGGTTTTCCTGTTTATTCTTATCTCCTTCACTATATCTTCACTTTCATAATTGTTCCATATTCAAGCTGACATCGTCAATTCTTTTGGGACTTTCAATGCATTCTCAGTACTGTGTCCGAAAGTTCCACCATACCTGAATTTTTGTCCTGTAAACAAGCACAAGGTTAGAATTTACTCTGTTTATCATACGTTAGAGAATTCTTGAAATCTCACAATCGTTCTGTTATTAAGTCAACCAGGTATTTGGTTAAAAGGTCATCCTCATGACCGGACAAAATTACCTTATAATAGCAGGGACCTTTAAATTCAGGGGCAAAATGCATAGGTATTTCTACTGACGGTCAAAACAAGATTGACCAAACCATACCGGATCGATTAAAAGAGGTGACATTTATAGCAGGTAAACTCTACTTTCAATAAATCAGTTTTTCTTACATTTAATTGTTTCCTTACGGCACTTATAACATATTATGTGTAAACATGATGTCGTTTACAAAACAAGACATTTAATTTGTCTTTTTTGTGTAAAAATGACAAACACGACCATTTAACATAAACAGTTGCGCCTGGAGCACAAATACGCCCGTCGTATGCCCATTAAATTTATTGAAAGCATATTTAAATGAAAATTGGAGTATGCATTAAATCAAAAGTCAATAAAATTGCCATGCAGAAAAAAACATGCAGTATATCGCATGGCATTTATGAAATTTCTTAAAATTTACTTCAAGTTTGACATTGTTGTTTTGATTCGTGAAGGTAAGCTCCATTTCGAATTTGAAATTTCGAAAAGCGAATCTGAAAAGTTTTGAGCACGAAAGGGAGCTTACTTCAGCCAACTCAAATATTCCAAACAGGTTAGATGATATCTTATCAAAGCGTCCTAGCTTTTGTACGACGTGTTGACGGTGATCAGACGAACGGAGGTGTTTTGTCCCCTGATTCCCTTTCAAGGCTTAATCTTAAATGCATGTGGTCTTAGACTGTACCAGACTCCGACTGAAATTATATATCATTTATAAGATTCCTGGCTACGACGCTGTTATATATTCGCGACTTTCTTTTGGTTATCTTATGTAAATGATCCAACCTTTTTTGGCGGATTACATTTTGAAGTATAGGCATACCTGGTATATGTCCGGTGTAATGTGGTACTAGTCCTGTTTCAATTGGATATATTGGTTTTCCATCTGATTTAGGTCTTGTCTCTTGAACCATTCTCATCTCTGAACCATCTAATGATTTGGCTCGTACTATATCGTCTGTAAATTCGTTCAATGCGAGATGTGTTATGATTGGATAACCATTTCCAAGTTGACCTCTACTACGGGGAACAAAACCAGTATATCCTTTAAAAACATAAATTGTACTATATGGTATCTCATTTCATTATTATCATAATTATTTATCTTTTTATTTGTAATTTTAATTCAATATGTTTATAAATATAATTTTTTAGAAAAACAGCAGTCGATCAGACACATATACATTTACATTGTACCTATGGCGGCATTCCACCTTACTTACATAGGCTCGTTATAGAAATACGTGTTGTTTTTTTACTCATTTAGCTAGATATTTGCACATTGATACATGTAACTAGTCCTTAGATCAACAAATCCGTCAAACAGCCAGAATTTCAATCTTGGCATAGTGTGCTTTATTTTTCTAGTGTTTTGATTTTCATTACATCTGAATGAACAACATTACGTGTCGTGTGTATTCGATATTTTCCTACTTGCTCGAACTAGAATTTAAATGATGTCTATTTTATATATAGGTGTTGCTCTAATTAGACATAGCAAATTTTCTTTTCTCTGTGGGTGCCCAGAACATTGTGATGTCAAATATTACTTGTCTGACAATTGTGTCAGACCCTAGATCAAGTTTAACTGGAGGCTAAAAAGGGCCTGTAGCGATGAGCTGTCATAAAATTTAAGAGTTCAGTTTGTTTCCGATTATAATGTCAATGTATAATGCGTTTATTAATTCTTCTAGAATTGAAAAAAAACCGGATTAAAGTCTCCAATGAACGGTTGCAATTGTAATCGTTTGAAAAGTGAAGGCTGCATGATGGTTTTGATGCTTAAAAGGCTCTAGGTAATAAACTGTAGGAAGAGGTGATTACATAAACAGGTACACGCTTACTCCTACAATCATAGTAACATTCGCTTTTTCTATTATCAGAATTTCGCAGCCAAAAATGGATGGTCGCGTGTTGCAGTCATATTAATTATTATTAACTTTCAATTATTCTTACAGGCGATAACATATGTATCATATAATAAATGGACCAGGGTTCTGTTGTTCTACATGTCGTTTGTACTAACGAGTCGTTAACATTTCTTAATCATTCGATTAAAAATAATCAGATATTAGTGTCTCGCTTGACTGGCCGTTAATTTTAACAATGTGTTATAAATGCTTAATATGTCGTTAAATTTAATCCACTTATGAAGGTGTATTAAATTTTAATCGTAAAATCATAGTATCGAATATGGCTGCTGTAGCAATGTAAATTTTAGTTTCTGTTCGAAAAATAAGACGTTTAGAGGTATTTATCCTTAGGAAAGGGATTTCAGCAAAGATCAGCTACATGTATGACAGCGCTTTTTGTCAATAAATCTGTAAGGAGTTGAGTTGAAACTTGAATTGGAAAGGAATAAGACAAGACGAGGCAAATGACCGACGGCTACATACAATTGATAATATTTTTTTAGACAGAAATTACACATTGAACTTGTTGCATTTACATGATTGTTTTACCAAAGAAGCAAATTGCAAAAGGTATTGCATAACGGGAACAATATGAAAAAGGACAAGTTATAATATATATATATATATTCTTGTGTAGTATTTCTGATGTCACTTTGACATAATTGACATGGTTGTCCATAAATGAGTATTGTACGTGTTGATTTTAATTGAACTGAATATGAAAAACAGCCTTACCCAAAAAAAGGGTATTTCACTTTTGTTAACATCTTCATACAAAAAACTCGTCAAAGATGCCAGTCTTATATTTTGTAAGCCAGACGCCCGTTTCGTCTACAAATGGTCATAAGTGATGATCACATAAAAAAAGTTAACAGGTTCAATTAAGAACGAATTTAAAGAGCAAGATACTGTGGTAAAAAGTCTTTACAAGTAAAGCTGTTTTTAATATCTAAATATGAATAAGAAAGTCTAATCAAAGTACTGAAGTACTGAACATCGGATGACCGCAGGTTCTTGTGGATGGTCAAAAGCACATGTCACAGAAATAGATCACATCTCTATACCTGAAACTGAGGTTGATTTACAGAGATATATTTTTTTCTGATACAAGTTCGTGCATGGATGATGAATAAATGACAGGAAATTCAACCGCACCGTAATAACTATTATATTGTAGTGATACAAATCAGTATACCTGGGACTATTATACTAATATGATAATAGTGTCAGAGTATACACGTCTGGTTTGTTGTTATATATTATATTAATATTACGGTTGCATGTATATATAATTTTCATCTATTTATATATCATTCTATTCTACTTTTCTAATTATAGTGCAGTGCAAGTGCATGGTGGACACTCTTCTGTAAAAAAATCGATTTTTCTAAAAGATTGGATATGAGAAGCCATTCATATTTTCCCGCAAAACAATAACAGAGTTATCGGTCCTTGCCGGGAGTGTCGCAAAACGTTCTTGAGATATTCTTCCGTAAGCTTTAACACAATTTTTCGGTACGTGTGCATTTATATCATCAATGATTTTTTACTTTTACATATATATAACTAACGACAACACATTTTTATATTATTAATTTGTGTTTTAATAAAAATATTTATAGGAGTATCCATTGAAAAAATGAATTTGAACAAGCGATAAGTAATGTTATTTTGCACTAGATAAGTGACCGCGGATCTATATTTTTTATAGATCGATTGAAAACCCAAAACTAATTTGCATAATGGATATTTAGGCGATAGCAATACATCGATATGACCTCACGGTCATCGCGATGTAAAAATGAGGCAAAAAAAAACAAACATTGTGATTGGCCTATATCGTCCTAAACAATGGGAATTCAACCAATGTCGTGACGTAATTTTCATTATGGGGTACGAACAATGAGAATACCCACAATCCTTTAGATTATGAAACGGCGTATTTCATTCATGAAGATTCTCAGTACTTACCAGACATGAAGCACTTCTGTAGGTCGCCATTAGCCATATAAAAAGGTGATCTTGAATGTTGAATTTTTGATTTAGAAATATATGGTTTGGCTTCTGATGACACTGGTTTCAGTGGTGTAAAATATCGGCTACGAATTGCCTGCAATTTAAAATCAAACAATAATTTATAATAGATTTATAAAAAGATGTTTTTTAATTACTAAAAAAGTGGTGTTTACTGCGATTTCTTCTTTGTTTTCTCTTTGTAAAGTATTATAAGAATTTTTACACAATTGCAGACTTCGGATATATAAAAGAATAAACTCCAAATATTTCGCAGATGGTCAAAGATAAAAACAATGTCATTCCTTGATAACTTTTCTGTAGAGCTGTCTTCGCTCATTCTGGAAATCTTCAACCTCTTCTGGTCACATTGATTAAATCAGTTTTACCCATTCAAAATCAAGGCGTATCTTTGATATCTTTGATAAAAAGGTACTTTTTGCTACCATGAGCAAAATTCTTAGTTTCCTCTGACCAGAAAAAACACAAAATTTAAAATCTTATTACTTCAAATCTACTTTTATGATAATTGATCCACTGTAATTTAGCAGTAAACGTAAAAGTGTTATAAAACCCATCTGCATACACCAAATATCCTTATTAAATTTTTCTGTGGGGATTTTGACTTTTCAATGACTACAGTATTCAGCTTACAAAAAATGAAAAGGCAACGTTGACTTTGGAATACAATCTATTTACCGGCATTGTTTTTCCGTCTTGACCTGTGACTTCCTTCCCTTGTTGCATTACTTCCGTTAGTTTTAAATCCTTTAACTTTGAATCGTAATCTTTTTGGTCGACTTCAAAATCTGTTATTGCACTTTTGCATGTCTCTGCATATCTTTTTCCAAAGTAGTGCTCGCTACGTGGTATGAATCCTATAAGATATAATTAAGAATTGACAAAATATCATTGAAGAGAGTTGTAAATCTCCCTATTTCTGTCATCATCAGTTCTTGGTATTAGAATGGATAAAAACTAAATGATTTTGCTGTTCGCATTCGTTTCCTGTTCGTATGGGTATTTCCTTCTTTGTCCGTAAAACGTGCTCATTGTTCGGTACAATAAAAAAGGGGGAGATACCAAGGGGACAATCAAAAATTACAACATCGTGGTTAAAAGAAAACAGACAAAAAGCACACAAAAAAGCTTCACAAAAAACTAAAAAATTGAGCAACATGAACCCACCAAAAAACGAGGGTCAACTCAGATGCTCCGGAAGGATCATCTGTCTATTCATTTTTAATAAAACTACGACAAAAACCGACAGCATATAAACATAGAATGGCATATATAGCTCCGTACTATTTGTCCATAAGGAATTTGGGCTTTTAACTCATTTTGCACCGACTCTATATAAAGCTTTTGGTTTGATTTGATTTGACTTGTTTTGGCCATTTTTGTCACTTTTGATGGCTCAAAAGATATTCTAAACTTCAGTCAAGTGAGAAAACAAAATCAAACACCTTTGAAAATATTTTCATATATTGCAAATTGGATAATCGAGATAATGTTTTTAATCGATCATCTTAAATTAAGTGCTATGTTCAGAATACTCTGCAAACTGCTAGCGTTGTCCATGACAACCGTGACTATTCAACGAAGACGTACAACGACAGCAGATATTAAACAGATGAGAGAAAGTAAAACCAGTACAAAGTTTACAAAAACAAAAGTAACGAGATATGGTATGATTGCCAATGAGGCAACTATCCACCAGAGACCAAATGACGAGGATATAAACACAGATATGCCTATAACAATGAGAAAACCCATACCGTATAGAGAGCGTAACAGAATGTGAAATAACCCAAAAGAGAAATCCAACGGTCTAATTATTTTAAAACAAAAAAACGAAAAACAAATAAGGTACACAGCAACCAACAACAACCACTGAATTAGAGGCTCCTAATATGGGACAGTCACATAATGAATCTGGCAGGGTTTAACATGTTGTGAACGCTCAACCGTCTCCTTAACCTGGGACATTGGTGTATCAGCACAACATAAGAACAAAGTTTTTCTATCAAAATCAGTTGTAAAAGGCTTGATTCCTCAGATCGGCACTAAAAAACTAACAAAAAGACAAAAACAATGGTATCGATTTAAGAGTACACGCAGCTACTGTAAGCTAGTTCAAAGCCAATTTCAACTAATGAATAAACCATGTTTTCCCAGACTAAAATTTCAATCAGGACATATCAAATGGATTAAGTATGTAAAATCAAAAGTGCTCGTAACTATATAACCATACATATCTAGTAATGTTTTTTTTATTAATTAAAAACAAAATCAATGTTAGTATATACCGATGAAGACAACACACAGATAAGTTTAATTGATAAACTTTAAGAATGATCACATTCAAAAGAGGATCAATAATTTTAAAAGTCTGTCGTATAAAAATATAACATTTAATATTGTAATGCTTAATTATTTTTTTCTTTCTTTCGATATGTTTGTGTATATTTTCTGTCATAACATTAAGAACCGTCTAGTAAATTGATTTTATCCAGATGTGTAGGGGCGATATGAAGTTCCCCGTGCTTCTAACTTAATCCCTATATGAAAAGTAATGCAGAAATACAAAGATACAGTTTAAGTGTATGCTTTTGCTGATTAAGAATACAAAAAAAAGTAATATCAAAAAAAGGAGATGTGTTATGGTTGCCATGAAGACAGCTTTTCACCAAAAACAAACAGGACATTAAGGATATGAACAATATCAGGTCACCGTACGGCCTTCAACAATATGCAAAATGCATACCGTATAGAAAGCAATAATTGTTTTCCGTTTAATGTTATAAGCTCAACTTCTCAATAGACAAAATACCAACGGTCTGATTTAAGCTTATAACATTAAACGGAAAACAATTATTGCAGACAGCAAGCAACGACAACCACCAGACTACAGGCTCCTGCCTTGGGACGTACGCATAAAGATTGTGGCCGTGTTAAGTATACCATGTTTTGGAGCCCCACCAATCCTTTCCAATGCCGGGACAGTGGTGTGACAATACATCATTCAAAATATATAAATCAATTGAAAAGGGCTTTACGCATTAGATTGGTACTAAGCACATTGAACTAACAAAATGACAAAAGACAAAAGGTACCGATCTCAGAGTACTCGCAGCTACTGAAAGGTAATCCGAAACCAGTTACAACTATGGGTAGACCATGTCTTCCTCGGCTTAAATCAGTTCATCTCCAATGGAGCTAGTGTAAAAACGTTATAAGGAGTCTTGGATAAAGCATAACTTTGCGCAATGCCAAACTACACGTATTGACAAGATGCGGTGCCATGAGTGCTAATAATTTGTACTCAAATTGCACTCAAATTAATGTAAGTACTCATAAACACAATGTTAAAAGATCTTACTGCAATGTTAGATTAATAAGCTTTAAGAATAAGTTTATGCAACGGACCAATAAGTTTGTATGGATCGTTTCTTAATTTACGAGCACTGTAAACAACATCACTGTTAAAATTGGAATGTGACATCCTGTTTGAAATCAGACTTTTAAAGGTATGGCCAAACTTCTGAACCAAATCATATCTTTGAAAAAAATACGTAAAGTTTTTAGTGATTTATGGTGATGAAGTATGGTAGTTTTGCACTAACAATTACAACTTATTATTTTATTTTGGTATTCAGTACAGAAACTTAACAAGACAGATTTTTGTCTACTGGAAACCACATAATTTCCTTATTTAAGATCAGATGTCATAACTCTGGAGTATTAAAAGGGAAATCTTTGGAAATTAAAATCGATCTGTCCTTCATTATCCAATCTAATTCATAAACAAATCAATCCTTTCATTATTCGGAAAACACACAATTTACATTTTTTACAATCCATGTCCAATACCATATTAACCTTGAAGCAAGAACAATAGTTTTACTTTGTGGAAAATTATCTAACACTTTTAATGTATTTCTTTGAAGATAAAGTAGATGACAATTAATACACCTAGACAGAATGGGACGATTGTTCCACAAATTATCTACAGAAAACAAGTGCATACAGAACATGTAATAAGCTTGAAGCAATATAGTAAGATCGATAAAAATCAAACTAATTCAGAGCAGTGAAATTAAAGAAACAGAAATCAAATTTAATCTGTTTTAAATGTCACATTTCATAATTTTAAACCATTTGGCTGCGGGGTTCACAATTACCCGGACACCCTACAATGAATTAACCAAAATCAACAAGTCTATAAGAATGAAACGCAAACTGTCTGCAAATCGTCTTTAACATATACAGACCTATTATCCGCTCAAATATGTGCTAGAATAGCCAAAATAAATTGAAAAAAAGGACATAACTCATTCGTTCATTCATTTGTGGCGGGGACATCAAAATATCCGAATAACAAAAATATTACATTGCTCAAAATTAGAGGAAAAGGATAAAGACCATTTTTGAAAGAAAAAAATAGAAGCTAATTCATCAAAAATGATAAATTCTTTTAATTTTTTGTTTTGTGTGTAGCAAAGACAACTAATATGCCAGTTGTAACATTATTTTCAGTGGTTTTGTAACGGTTACGCTCTTCAAATCGAATATTTAAATAAAACCCGACAAATAAGTAAAGTTAGTCTTGTTTGTTTTTTGAAAAGTTTGGTTCATTTCTATGTTTCGGAGTAAAGTGTGGCGTCCCTTTCGCTGAACTAGTATACATTATTGTTTAGAGGCCAATTTAAGCCTGCTTCCGGGTGCGGGATTTACTGTGTTGAAGATTCATTGGTGTCCTTGGGCTGTTTTCTGCTCTTTGGTCGGGTTGGTGTCTCTTTGACACATTCCCGTTTCCATTCTCTATTCTAAATGTTATATGTCTTTATGTTTCAAACTATGTCCAGGTAAGTAAACTGATAGAATATTCTTTCTGGAGATGATAAGAAATTACTATGGACGCACTTGTGTATCTTTCATTTTGCATTGACACTGTTTTATGGGTACTATTTTTTACAGATTCTAAACCATATAGTTTCAGACGGTTATATTTTCCATACAGTAGTACTTTCTTATATATTTACATTTGTCATAGTAATATGATTGTATTTATGTTGACATGTATTTGCCTCTGTTACAGCGTATGCTGTCAGAGCGATCAATAAAATTTTATATCGTGTACATTTGAAAACAGTTATTGAATGAAATAACTTAAAAGTTTTACACGTTTAGAGCGCAAACATTACATTTAACCCTGTTTCCAGTATCATATGTTTTGGTTTTATTTTATGTTTCATATTTCATATTTATATTTTATATATATTTTTTTAATTTATCTTTATATTATCTACATTTCTTTCACCTCACCTGTATAACCAGGAATCATTTTTTCAACAAGTTTCTGGTCACCCCAGCTTTGGGTCCTGGAACGAAGCAATTGTGACCGGAAGTCCTTGCTACCAGAGTATAGAGCAGCTGGTGCGCTTGCTCGTATATCTGCCAAAACCAATTTTCCGGAGCTAGCAACATTTGTATTCCCTAATAATCGACACGTAGTTTTTCCAAATGTGTTTCCAATTTGGTATTTAAACTGAGGGCAAAATCCACCATACCTAGAAAATAAAACAACTAATAGTTATTTGCACAATTTGACAATTTGTTTGGGTAGTCCAATAAATTTTACAGGTAGGAGGTAGCGCGAGTATCTTCTGAATATATCACACCAGAGTCATTTTCAAAAAGTCTACAAATCTATACCTTAATTCACGGTATTACACCTTTATGTGTGCATTGTCGCCTCGGTGGTCTCGTAGTAGCGTGTTCGATTCAAGTACGGGTGGTCGGTAGTTCGATCCCCAACCGGATCAAATCAAAGTCATGAAAATTAGCATTTGGTGCTGTCCGCTTAGAACGCGGCATTTCAGTAGCAGTAAAAGGAGACTTGTAGGTTTTCAGTCAGAATAATGTGTTCGAGTAGGATGAAAAGTCTTCCTGCTGTCTGTTGCGTTGTGAACAAACACGTTAAAACTCCGGTTCAGCGTGTCGGTCAATTACAATGCATTGTTCATATTCATCTTACATTGATATGTTCTCGTTTTGATATGTATGTAATATTTGTCACTGGTCGTTAGAAAATAACCAATCCATCATGTGTGTACTTTTAGATCCAACAAAATTGTTATATAATTTTAACACGTAAACAACTTGTATATGCTTAAAGATGACTCAAACCGGCAATTTCATTTGTTGATAAAGATTTAGACATATAATAAGTAATTAACAGAAAAATGAAAAAGAAGGACAGTCTTAACTAAATAGAAATTCTATAGGAAGTTAAGATATTTTTTTTTCTTTCAGAAACAAATTAATTCATGTCGGAAAGGCATATGCCTCGATGCAAAAAAAAAATAAAATAAAAAATGTATAATAAATTGTTATCGCTTAATACAATTTGTATTGTATTTACATGTTTATGTGTAAAATTGGTCGCTTATATTTATATTCCAGTAGGTCTTAACAACTTTCGGATTTTGACACTTTGGGTGAAATGAATTCATGGGAAGTTTGTTCTTTCAGTTTATTTGCATATACATGTACTAGATGAATCAAGGACATTTCCTACGTTTAAGGGTCCATGTTATTAGAGCTAGAGTTCATATAAAAAGAGTTATGATTATAGATAGGATTTGAGTAAGGTTATATAATAAGAGTATGGTTTAAATGCTCAATGATATAGGTTATCTTTAAATTGACCCCCTTACTGTGCAAATGTGTGAGGGATAAATCAATGCAAGTAAATGATTGATTGATTTGTTGATGGTTGATTGATTGATTGATTGATTGATTGGCGTCAAGTGGTAAATATTTCATGCATAAACAAGCTAATGAAATCTATTTAAATAATTCGGTGATCTGAACTCGATGGTCTCCGGGTAATCCGAAAAAGAAAAAAAAAAGTTATGTCAAAATTAAAGTAATGTTTTCTTTTCGGGGAAGTGGGGTCAGAATTTCCCCGAAGAGAAATTGAGTATCCCATGCGAAAGGAAATGGACATTCAAATACTTTATTTTTCATGAATAAATCAGCAATAATTGACCAAAAATAAAAGTTAGGTATATTAAAGTACACGTGTTCATATCTGAAATGTCTATTTTCTTTCATTTAATAAATACTTTAAACGAAATAAATAGCTTATCATTACCATTTATCAGGTTTTTATCAATTGATTTTGTTAAGACTGTCTTTGTTATCTTAATTAAGTGGGAAAAGGTATATTGAAGATCAATTCCGTCTGCTGTAAATAATTTATGGAAACATGCAACCACGACTCAAATACAGAAATGCGCATTCATATTGTATACTATTTAAACACTGCAAATGTCTTTAAATGAATAAAAAAAGACTTACCCTGGTGTGTGATAAGGGTCCGGTGTCATTAAGACACTCTTTCCATCAGATGGTAGCGGCATTGTCCCCTTTTTAACAAAAATATATCAATGAAAACAAAAATGAAACGAATTAGTTAATCTATTTCCCTTTTACGCCGGGTCGATTTTCGTATCTATGAAACGAGCCCATTACGTCACGTCATTGTTCCGAAAGGGGAGATCGGTAGAGATTTTCTTTCTGTGTCGCTTGACTTTAATAGGATTAAGGTGACTGTTTTAGACGTTCTGTTAGTGAAATTAAATCCACCATTAGTTTCAAAATATTAAAACCGACATTTAAAAGTATTCATAATTTAATTATTGAATATATTGTTCACAGGCTGTTTGTCTCACCTATTTTTCTTGCTGGCATCGTTAATTAACATAGTTATGTATATTCACCTGCCATTTAAACAGTGTCATATATTTTATAACTTGGTTTCGTTGATATTTATTACAATAATATGCTTTAGATATTATACATGTCATTCTTTTATCTGAGATTTGTATGTATTTGAAGTGTACATTTGATAAGTTAATATATTAATAAGACCTACAGGAAGCACCAGAATTGTAAAATTTCAGATAATTTTTATTACATAGGTGGTTATTTTTTTCATTAAATGGCTACATTTATTTATTTATTTATAACACAATACATACATACTTATTAGTTGATCTTCTATGTTTGATAAATGTTAAGTTATCTTTATTGTGATATTTTAGAGCATGTACCTTATAGAAGTGTACATGTTATATGCAAGAGGGTCTGGATGGGGTTTACATACTACAGATTACTAATGAGCCAAATGTACAGAAAAATCGACCCAAAAAATAAAGATGAGAGAAAATAGGGTAAAAAAAATAAATAACAGAGAATAATGGGGTGCTGAAATATAAAGAATAGAGAATAATGGGCAAAAATATAAAGAATAGAGAATAATGGGCAAAAATATAAAGAATAGAGAAAATGACCTATAAAATTAAAGAAAACAGAAATGAAGGACCTATACTCATGTAATATAATAAAGACATGAATAGAAGCATCAAAATTGTATGATTCCAGATTCATATATGTTTTTTTTTCTGCCTCGTTAAAATGCTACAATAAAATTAAGACAATACATATTTACTTAATATTAAGTCTTTTTTCTGTATTTGTTAAAAAGGTTAGTTAGCTGTATTGTGATATTTTAGTACATGAACCTTATGGCATATATTACATTTACGATTACTTTCAAACCCATTTTAAAAAATGGACTAATCCTTAGTTCTGTATACATACTTTTTCTTTAAATAAAAACATTAACATTATAAAGAGGCGATTAAAAGAATTAATAACGAGATCTATATCGGGGGACAATACAGTGAAATGAATACACACAGCTATTGATTTGACAACTGCCATTTAAACCAGAGAAATATTTGTGAAAGTTTATTGTCTACGAAAGTATATTAAATACTTAATTGTGGGTTAAAAGCAATTTAAATCCAATTGTTGTCCAACATGATAAAACATTAAGTGGCGTGTTAGAAATTTCATGTTAAAATCAATAATTCCCAATTTACTTGGGAACAACTTTTATTAACGGAAATAGATTAATTGTATTTCCTGGTCAAGCGGCTGAAAATTCCGTTAAAAATGCGAGAATAAATATCATCCAATGCATTCGTTTGACTTGACCGTCTTTATTCATGGTTTCTTAATAAAAAAATCATCTGCCAAGATATACTGCGAGTGAATCGAAAGAAACCAGTTTTATGTGTCCTTAGCTGCAAAGGTAGTGTAAAATATTAAAACTAGAGGCTCTAAAGAGCCTGTGTCGATCACCTAAGTCTACGTGCATATTCAACAAAGGACACTCTCCAACATTTTAAACGAGAAAAGAATTCATGACAAAATTCTCTGTTTTGTTGATCTTGTTTTGCTGATCATTTAGTCTGTTTAGTTTCTCTCTATCGTCTTTAATTTTTGCTCAAAACACAAAATAGAGTAAAAACAATCCTCATTTAAGGGCAATCACTCTTATAAAGAGTGACAGTCTACTACCTATATCGGCAAAATTTGACTTGTTAGTAGATCTTGCCTTGCTGATCATTTTTGAGAATTTAAAATGTCTATTTATCTATTATAATTTTTATCATATAAGGCAAAACGCAAAGTAAATGGTAAAAATCGTCATTAATGTGCAATAATTCCAGTAAGGAGTCGTCGGACGATTTCCTCTTTATTGTCTTAATTGTAGATCTTGTCTTGCTGATCATTTTTGCTTCAAGTTATTTAAGTTTCTATCTATCTATTATAATTTTTAAGATATAAGGTAAAAACGCAAAAATGGTAAAAATCATCAACAAAGGGCAATAACTCTTACTAATAAGGAGTCGGCTGACGATTTCGACCATTAGACTTATTTGAAGAACTTGTCTTGCTGATTATTTTTGCAATTTATAAAGTTTCTCTCTATCTATTATAATTTTCAAGATAAAAGGCAAAACATTTAAAAAATGGCAAATTTTATCATTTAAGGGCAATAACTCCTATAAGAAGTCGTCTGACGGTTGAGACGTATATGGACAATTGGTAGAGCTCAACATTTTAAACATTTCTGCCTTTGTCAGATTTTCTCTGTTTATAAAGGTTTTCAAAATAATAGACTTGCATTTTACCCCTATGTTCTACTTTTAGCCATGTCGGCCATCTCGGACACATTTGGTAAACTAGATACCCCCATGATAATTGTGGCCAAGTTTGGTTAAAGTAGTTTCAGAGGAGAAGATTTTTGTAAAAGTTAACAGACGACGACGACGGACGATGGACGCCAAGTGATGAGAAAAGCTCACTTGGCCCTTTGGGCCAGGTGAGCTTACAAAGTAATTTACCTTCCAAATTCCAAGAGAATTAACAAAAATCATTTTTTTTTTTCTAGAGCCTGCAAATATGGCTTCCTCCAGAATATACATAAAATACGAATATTATTTGTTTATCTATTCACTTAGTTGTGAATGTTTTAACCAAAGGGATCGGACTGCTCATTTGTAGCCTAAAGGGGGTTTGAGGAAATTAAGAGGGGCCTTGAACATTTTTGGGATTGGAAAGGGGATATCCAATTTTTCAATACTTGAGATGGAAAGGGGAGGGGGCATCGAAAAAAATTCTACAAGATTTGAGCAATTCTGTTTTTCAAACATGCAAAAATGATTGCTAATTTGATGAATACTGTAAATCAGTATCTGATTATTCAACAGAAGTGGTTTACACTTGATTCAGATGTCATATCTGTATCTCTTGTGTCTTGTGTTTGGCTTCAAACTTCATTGCAATGTTAAATGTTTTATTCATGTGAATCATGACCATCTTCTGTTTGTTGGACATGAAGAATGACAATAATAGGGGAAAATGGTTTGATGTCTTTCAGTCTTCTCGATGGTTAACTTAATATTATACACCTTTCAATATAATAAAAACGCTGATAATATTAATAGTTTTTTCCTTTAATGATTAATCGTAAAACTCATGATTTAGCATATATTTCAATGGCTCAAGATGATATCTAGGATTCAAGTGTGGAATTTTTAATATGTCTAACGTGAATAATTTCCTTTAAGTTAATGACCTGAAGATATGGAGTCAGGCTAGCGCTACCACTACCCAAACGCTTCCGCTTACAATAATAAAAATAAACAAAACGTCCTTCTTTATTAGCCCAGTCTTTGTTTTAGTGGCATGAAGTTTAACGTGATCTCGATTGACGCACACAAAGATTCCACAAAACCGATTTAACTGTTTACGCAGAAGGACATGGTTCCCTTTTCCTGTTTGTAGTTGTGATTTTAAAGACTGATTTTCATCTTCAAGTTGTTTTCACTATTTTCTAAGGGCTCTTACATCTGCAGGTTGAATAGATTCAACAGCTGTCAGATTTAATTGTTTAATGGATTGTGGTAATTTAATTGCAGTTGCTGTTAGCCCTAATTGAAGCCTTTTGATAATATGAGCAAAATTTCCATTTTCATCTTTACTGACATATTGATATTTAGTATATATTAATTGCTTATTGATGTTTTTGGATGTTGTACTATGTGATCCCTGCGGATCAGAATTTGTATCTTGTAATAAGGAACCTGTGATTTTGTCAACTTATTCGAGAAAATGTGGAAAGTCCTTTTTACAAATTGTTCATGGTTTGGTTGTTTTTTAGACACTGAATCAATCAAGTGTTTATAAAAATGATACTTTATACAAAATTTATTCTCTTTGGCTGTCCTTACATCTATAGTACCTGATTTAAGGGACTGGCTTTGGGAGATCGTCAAAAAGGGGGAGGGGGCTGTCAACCAAGGACATTTCTTAACCAGAATGCTTCCGTAGAACTCAACAAGGAAAATTTTAAGTGCTTTCAGCAATGGTTGTTTTCTGTCATGAGTAGTACTAAAGGCAACCAGTTCTCGCCTCCTCTTCATAAATGGTGGAATTTCATTGTTCGAACAAAAAGTACAACAAAATATCGAACTCCAAGGTAAATTCAAAAAGGGGAAGTCCATAAAAACTGACAAAATCAAACGTTATCAACCAACAGAACGAATGAAAAACAGCCGTATATTCCGGACTTGGTATGGACATTTTTCGAAGAAAATGTTGGATTAAACCTGGTTTATAGCTAGCTAAACCTCCCACTTGTATGAAAATTGTTTATAGTTCCATTATATATGAAAAAATTTGGTGAGCAACCCAAACAGACATATGATTACATCCACTTCATTTGAACTTTGGTGGATAGTTGTCTCATAGGCAATCATACCACATCTCCTTATTTTTATATAATAGATTAATGTGACAATAATTGGGATCCATTAGCTAAACTGTAAACACACATCACAGACATACAACACAACTGACTAAAAAATTCAAACAAACATACAAATAAATCTAACAAAAACACCAACAAAAAGGTTTTGTAGTTGATCGTTAATTGACAAAGACACCGATTAAAAAGTGTGTGTAGTTGATAGTACATAGTTACAGTATATAGTATTCACTTTCTCGATAAAGTTCAAATTAAGTAAAATATAAATACAAGGGTATACAAAATGAAAACAACAATGTAAAAATCTATTGCGTCCGAATCGAACCGCAGTAC